GGATTTGGATTTGGTCAAATGATCGATTGATTGGCTTCGGCTTCGGACCAAATTTATTTGTTAATAGTAAATATTAACGTAAGATTATCCGTATTTGTAAACGGATATTTTCCAATCCGTCTATTGATAATTTGGCAGCCGGATAATGGTCTTCCCACCATGAAGTGCTTGATCCACCATGAAGGGTGGACGTTTGGTCTTGCACTCCTTCTTGGCTGCTATATATATGAGCAGCAAATGTTGAAGAAAGATACTCAACTCAACATACAATTCGCTCAACAAATTGGCTATACATTGCACTCCTTCCTCTCAGAACTTCCATACGTTTTTCTGAGTATATACTCCTTCGTTCTGCATTGTTTTTTAACTTCAAACAAAGCAACTGTAAGTGTGATTTGCTACCGAACTTTGTGTTCGCCGAAACACTGGGGTTTGAAGTACCGCTACACCAGTGTGTTATTCGTTCTATCCTGGGAGGAAATAATCCATTACCTTGGGTACTAGGAGGGGATTAAATTCCTTAAGGAAACACTGTGAATTCAGTGGGCTCGAATTTATTATTATTGTTTCATTACGTTAACTTATATTTTGCAGAATTAATATTTACAAATACAGCAATATTGACCGGGAATAACAAGTTGCGGGCATATTACCACCCTATATGGCCACCTCAAGGACAGGGTTTTCAAAAACAAAATCAGACATTTTCTTGCAAGTTTGCTCTCAAGAAAATATAGAAATACAAAGTTAAAAAAAAAAAAAAAAAAGGACCAAATTTGATTAGGCAAAAGACGTTTAGGTGGTGGTGGTCCCTCCATCGATTGTCCCAAGTATAGTAAGAGAAATCAGTCAAAAGCAATTATATTGTAGCAAATCTAATGCTAATATTACATGTGCCATTAAAAATGAACGAGTATATGTAGGATGTTTTTTAACTACGTAATAGTAATTGATTTCCCTATTCTGGAGGTAGCGGTAGTTAATGTTGTGTTGCAGAGTATAAGGTACTATTTTAGAACTACTAGTGTGTACATTAAGTAATAATGGAAATCAGAAGAATGAACAAGTTAGGAATGGTTTTTATTTTGTAGTAAAGTAATAAAAAGGGGTTGGTTTTGAAGCTCAACAGAATGCTCACTTTGTTGGGGCAACACGACAGCAGAATAAATGGGGGTATCTCACTGTATTGTGTTATAACAACACACGTAAAAATTAATTATACTAACTAGTACTTGATCAATATATAAATAAAGACAAACCTACATGTTACTTCTTTTACTCACTTCTCTGCTCCACAATTGAATAACATAAGTAGTTAATAAAGACATACAACATCACATTCGCATTAATTACGCATTGCTTGAACATCAAAGGGTATACCTTCTGGACTATGCATGCATGCAACTATAAATAACTATTACTACTACCCATACTATTCCTACTCAAAAAAAAATATATTATGATATTATCCATAACAATCAGTTTTCTTCATATATACTCTATATATTCACACACAAAAATAAATTTACTAATCGATTAACTGAATTTAAACTTTTAATAAGTCGGAGCCACCATCACTTTTTCAGCTTTACAGTTTTCTTAACCCTCTCCCCCTACCCAAACCGGGCGTGTCTCTCCAAAACATAGTACACATATAAGACTTGTTGTACATATTGCTTTGATTTAACAAAGAGGAGAGGAAACATTAGCTTCCCAGAATTTGCTTTGATTTAATTACGATAAATACAAACTTAAAATGAAAATGAAATTAAAGAAGCTCAACAGAATTCATGATATTCATCTGTAAAACTTTTTAACTACAGAACTAGTTTAGTACCTAACTAGCTAGTAGTAAATGAACTAGATCTGACGCCGGCCATGAGTGTAACTGCTTGAGTTGCTCGTTCTATATATTCTTAAAAAAAAAAAAAT